AATGTATGATCTTATTTATTTCTTCATTTTTTTATAAATATACCTAGCATGTTTCTTATAAACTTTCGATCTCATCAGCTATGCTTCCCTCTCAGGCTTCAATAGTATTCCAAACGTAGTTTTGGCAGCAGGTTTGGCCAAAAAAATTGCCTTTGCACTCCAACGGAGTTTGGTGCCAACTTTTTTTCAATGCACTTGGGCAAATGGTTAGGGATTTATTTTATTTTCCTCTTTATATTTAATATTTTCGCGGTAAAACAAAGTTATCTCGGCGAGCAGTTGTGTGTGTATATGAAGTTTGATTTATTAGGAGCCTTATTTTTCAAGAGTGGTTCATGCCGTACAGCTGGTTTATCAACTATGGGCTCCGACGTAAATATCTTTAGTATATACTCAGCTTTGATTCTACGGCGGTTTCTCATAATTCCATTATTATACAATAGAAGGGGATCATAATCTCAACTGTTTTACGAAATGGCAAGGCAAACATAATATGTGCCCGACCTGAAAAGCAACCCCTAGCGACTACCGATCTAGGTATGACACATGAATTACGAAGACGAGAAGGAACGATATTTTACGTCCGTATTGCCGCTGAAACTATGGTGTTCACCGGACAATGTGTCAGTTGCGGAAAGTATCGTGACATGAGGCAACCATAACACGACAAGTTACCGTAGTGATTTAGCCTGGGCCGGATTGTGGGTAAGGGCTCCAGTAGAGAGGGCTTTTGGCTCTATCCACTCGTCTTAGATTTCGATCTTTCGATAATGTAACCGTTCCCCAAAAACCTTGCAAATAAGCAAGGTACGGCTATAACTTCAGGCATATATCTAATATCTCCAGTACTCGAATCTGCTCTGTTAGGGAATCATTTACACATACTCGAAGTACGCAAAAACTCTAACCGGAGGATCCAGTTACTCTTCCCATTATTCCAGCTTAGTATATAACTTGATGGATACATGTATATACTCTCTCTCAGGATCTTTTAGCAGTGGTGCTATATATTTGTGATGGTGATAGCAGTGTCGTGTGTGATCTTTCTACAATTATTTATGGACATTTTTTGGAGTTTAGAATTATCGAGGTACAGAGAGGAAAGAGGAGGTGGTAGGTGGTGCTTAGTTTTGTATGATTTTGCTCGTTTCTGCGTACTTGGTTTGGTGGGGCTCTCTCTGATTTGCAGGAGCTAGGATAAAGGATTATTTGACATGGTGTCGAGTGCTTACCCGAAGAAGATCAACGGTGAGAATGCGTGGATTTATAGAAGTTTTGGAAGGTAGCTCGAGCAAATTGTAGTTACTGAGAATTGCGAATTGACTTGTCCTGGTAATGTGCGGATGAAATTTGATGGGTTTATATAGTGTGACTCATAAAGCTTTGATGTGCAGGAGAAAAACATCGACGCTGGCTTTGACTCGGCAAACTGGATGAAATAGTGACAATTACAATAAAGCAATTCTTATGATGAGCTCATTTTTATAATATGTAGATTGTTTCGTTCTCTACCAAGCAACACATTGCAATTTTGCAAATTATTTGTATTACTCAGGTCTCCACCTAATCTATTATGATCTTATTCATTTACTATGTGTTTTACATTACATGTCTGTATATTTCATGTATTACTTGTATTATTATAAACCAATTATCATTTTGTGAATCGAAGACAATAGGACCCCTCCATTAGTATAGGCTTTTCGAATTTACTTATTATTTGGCTGTAAACGTGGGCATATTCAGGGTTTAGAAGATTCAGTATTTGTTTGTCGAACATAGTGTTTGAAATTACTATGCATAATAATATAATGGTATAAATAGTAGTCTAATCCAGAAGATGGAGATTTTACTAGTACAACACAGAGGATTGTGATTGTGCCAGATGGCATCATAGGAGCGATTGAGATGTAATACTGGTAATAAAGTTGTTAGTATGGTTGTGTTTAGATAAGAATAGTTAGAAAGAGTTGCTATATAGTTGGTTTTGTAAGTAACAGAAAGCAGTTGTGAAATAATAAAGAAATTCTCTTGTTACTTTTCCTTTGAGTTCTGTCATGGCTTCTCTGAGTTAAGGTTGATTGAGAATCTATCAGCTAGCCTCAAGGAAGAGTTTAACATTGATTTGCATGTTATGGGAATTACTGGCTCACAGACAATGCTTTTGAGTGAGGCTTAAGTTAAAAAGCTTTCAATGGAATATGATTTAATCAAATGCTTTGCATATTCTGAAGTAGACCTTGGATTGGTGGTGGTCTTAATTCTTATGCGTCATTAATGAAATGTTTTTGAGTTGATAATTGACCATCATGCTTCCTTTCGCAGCGGAAGTTGCTCCTTTCTACAGTCCAATTACGATACCTACGTATGTTTTATAAGTTTTTCTCTTTGTTATTCTTTTCCAATTTCAACCTTTTTCCATTATGTTTTTTATATTTAATTTACAAAAATAAAGTCATCCATTGCTTCGTAGAGGCTGGTAGTAATTAGTTAAAATACATTTACTTCTTAAACCATTTTCATTCTGTAGTTTCACTTTGAGGGCCATAATTTACTTTTAATTTTTCATTGTTGTAGGGGTGTTGACTTATCTAGATGGAGATAACTCCGGAAAGAGAAAGGAGGTGTAGCAGATATGGAAAAGTTTGTGCAGCATGGACGTGGGAATCGTGTTTTTCCAAATACTGTTTTGGTTGACTGCTCAGCTGACTCTATGACTGGTCGCAGTCAGGAAGTCACTCCTGACAAAAAGTCAGGCCGCTTGATCTAGTAATATCTCTTTTTGTACTTGCAAATTTCTTTCAAGTGTTTTATCTTTGATGATATCTAATTGCATATTCTTGTTTTTGTAGTACGTATAATTCAATTAACTGAAAAGAACAAGAATGTCAACCATTTCTTTAATTAGTTGATCTACCCAAGTGCGTTTTGTTGTTTTAATTAATAGTCTTGCATCCAAAACCCATGAATTTGGGATATCTTTCTTTCTGACGATTCATCATATAAGCATGATCCAGTTTATAACATGGTGGGATAAATATTGGATGCCTAATGAGCAAAAGACATAGGGGTATCTAATATGGCATAGAAAGCCAAAGGTTTTTGCTTTAACTTTCAAATCATCGAATATGCTTATGACTATGTAGAGACCCATGTTCAGCCAGAATAGAAATCTTATTATTGATTTTGGTTTGATCTTTTGTTTCCTTTTTCTTTTTCTTTTGTAGTATTTAAGTCTTCTCTTAACTCACACAATCAACCACAACAACAACAACAACAACAACAAAGCCTTTTCCCACTAAGTGGGGTCGGCTATATGAATCCTAGAACGCCATTGCGCTCGGTTTTGTGTCATGTCCTCCGTTAGATCCAAGTACTCTAAGTCTTTTCTTAGGGTCTCTTCCAAAGTTTTCCTAGGTCTTCCTCTACCCCTTCGGCCCTGAACCTCTATCCCGTAGTCACATCTTCGAACCGAAGCGTCAGTAGGCCTTCTTTGCACCTGTCCAAACACATTTTGTGTACGTGTTGATGCTTCACCGCCCAACATTCTGTGCCATACAACATCGCCAGCCTTATTGCCGTCCTATAAAATTTTCCCTTGAGCTTTAGTGGCCTACGACGGTCATACAACACGCCGGATGCACTCTTCTACTTCATCCATCCAGCTTGTATTCTATGGTTGATATCTCCATCTAATTCTCCGTTCTTTTGCAAGATAGATCCTAGGTAGCGAAAACAGTCGCTCTTTGGTATTTCTTGATCTCCGATCCTCACCCCTAACTCATTTTGGCCTCCATTTGCACTGAACTTGCACTCCATATATTCTGTCTTTGATCGGCTTAGGCGAAGACCTTTAGATTCCAACACTTCTCTCCAAAGGTTAAGCTTCGCATTTACCCCTCTTGAGTTTCATCTATCAACACTATATCGTTTGCGAAAAGCATACACCAATGAATATCATTTTGAATATGTCCTGTTAACTCATCCATTACCAACGCAAAAAGGTAAGGACTTAAGGATTGTTGACGCATACAATCAGTGAGGACTTTGGTACAATAGAAAGTATTAAGTTTGTGATCTTCGCTAGATTGCTCTGGTCATTAGTGTGGATAAGTATGTAAATAGATAGAGACAGGAAAACACAAGATGTACGTGGTTCACCCAGATTGGCTACGTCCACGGAGTAGAGGAGTTCTCATTAATTGTGAAGGGTTTACACAAGTACATAAGTTCAAGCTCTCCTTTAGTGAGTACACGTGAATGATTTAGTACAAATGACATAGGTTCAAGCTCTCGTCTTCACTTGCCTTATCTGTCTCATAGGTAGATGTGGCATCTTCTCTAGAAGTACTCTTCCTCCATCCAGGGGTGGTATCTTTAACTGGTGGAGATGCACAAGGTAATGTATCAATTTCACTTGAGGCTTACTTGTAGTTTCAGGCTTGGTCAAGCGCGATACAAACCATGTAGTAGGAGTCCCCCAAGTCGCCGAGCTAGGGGATCTGCTGAAAGAGGTGACAGACAAGGTAAGCAATCAGAGCTCCAAGCAATCAGTCCCAGATCAAAAGTTTGATTTCGAGTTCCGGCTGATTGTTCTCATTCTCCCTATCTTGCAGGCAGCATGAAGGATAAAAAGAAGAAAAGGAGAATAGATGATATGAGATATTTTTGCTTTTGAAGAAGTAACTTTCCACAGGCTTATTCTTGAACTCGGCTAGAGGATTTTCTGATTTCCTCCAGAGTATAAGGCCGACTGAAGAATTTGAGGGTCAAAACAAGTCCATCAAATCTAGAGTACGTTCGACCCTGCTGATATGGGATACTTTTGTTGTTGTCAAAGTAATGGATGTATCGGCACATGTTGACACGCCCCGATCCCGATGTCCTCGTGACATCGGGATGATCACGTGCTGGCCGACACCCAAAGGGTGACGAAAGCCATTAATTTAAGTAAAAACTCATAAATAAGCTAAAACAGGCAGCAAGACTAGCCACAATAATACTACCAAATCAACTTCTAATTAACAACATTAGGATCCACACATAATGTCAGAGCATACGTCTATTACAGAGTACAAACAGAATTTAAGATAGAGATGTGCTATATTACAAAAGATGTCGAAGCAGAAGAAGTATAGCACTGGATCACTGGTAGGGAAAGGCCTCGTAGCTTATATCGTAATCCTCGTTCGTAGGTCCTGAAGGGGGCGCAAAACAAACATGAGTGGACCAATTTGATATATAAATATAATAAAAACAGTTATCAACATACTAACCCCCAGGTTTTATGAAAACATATATATCATGATCAAAATAGATTTTCCGAAACCTAGCATGCCGTGCAATATCTCAAATTCATAACTTGTATAAGTAATAAACACTAGTGAATTGTCCGATAACCTGCAGGCCCCATGCCGGCTCCCCGTCTCTGAACAGACAATCAGAGGAAAATACACTACAGGCCCCATGCCGGCTCCCCCGTCTCTGTGCTAAATAGCCAGAGGAAACACACTCCAGGCCCTATGCCAACACCAAACCGTCGCCCGGGACGGACCGGAATCTATCCCTACGTCCCGTAGCGGAAAGGACCACTAGGTAAGTACAAAACCATTGAGCATAACATATTGAAAAACAACTTCGTAGTATAAAGTCATCCATCATCTATACTACAAAGAGGTGTTCTAAACATGTTCTAAATATCATATCGTCATCCATCGGATATTCTATAAGAACATGGGTTATAGGAAAAATAGTAATAATTCAATCTAGCCTCAGTAAGCATATATCTCATAAAGTACTTCGTAAAACATAAGTATTAAATCATGCTTTTCATGTATGCATTTCTATTGTTAAAACATGATTTTGAAGGGGTCCACTCACCGTACGCCGACGGTGCAAAGCTATACCAAGAAGGTATAACAGAATCACCGTTAATAATTGCACCTATTCACACAAAGGAGTACCTTTGGTCAAACTCTATTCAAACGATTGAATTTGGGAAAACGGACTTCAAAAACGGGTCCAGGACGTCGAAATTAGCCTAGGAGAGGTCCTGAACGAAACCCCGAAAAGTCAACTTTGACTGTTGACCGGTCAAAGTCAAAGTCAACGTCAAAGTCAACTCTGACCGTTGACCGAGTCAACGTTGACCGTTGACCAAGTCAACAGTCAACAGTCAACTGGTCAGAGGTCAAAGTCCACTGGGCTTTGAATTTGGGTTGGGCCGAAAGGCCTTAAAGGTTTTGGGTTGAAAACCCAACTCAGATTGGCCCAAGGCCTAATCTGCTTGGGCTACACACACGGGCCTAATGCCCTAAACATAACCGGCCCAAGGGCCTTAATCTATAACAGCAATTAATTTAAACAATTAAAAGGAAATGGGTTGGATTGGACTGGCCTCACCACACGGGCCTAAGGCCCGCCTGCTATTCGAAACCGGCCTGGGAGGCCTGGCCTCACCGGAGCACCACCACCGGAGCTTCACAGCTCCGGCCAACTACCACACACCACCCTAGAGTCCGATCTAGGTACCAAAACGAAGAGCAAGACGAAGGGAGTGTTTTTATACCTTCCTTTCGTCGTGGAACGACCGGAGATGGCCAGAAAAAGCCCCGACACCCTCGGGATCGCCGGAGTTGGGTGTGCTTACACCCGGCTTCGATTCGTCCTAAAAACCTCGAAAAATCACAAAATAACCTCCATTAAAACTCATTCACCAGATCTTAGGACGAAAAAGTGAAGGTTTGGAGCTTACCCAACCGGGAAAAAATAAAGGTTTCGCCGGAGTTCCTCTCCGGTTTCTGGGCTCGCAGCACGGGACAGAGGGAGAGAGAAGAAGGAGATGGGTCTTCTTCGCGCGGGGGAGACGGGTGCGTGCGTGCGGGTTGCTGCAGAGAAGAGAGATGAGGGAGCTATGAGAGAGAGAGACGAGAGAAAGAGATAGAGTCGGGAGGGACAGAGAGACAGACAGAAGAAAGAAAAGAAAACAGAAAAAGAAGAAGAGAAAGAAGGAGTCACGGGGGGGGGACAGAGAGAGAAGACAGGTAAATTGCTAGGGAGCTGCCACGTGGCAGTTTGAAAAGAAAGAAGGATCCAAAACTTAGATCCTGATAGGGTAGTCCAAAAAGGGTAAAATTGATAGATTTATAATATTTAGGGAATATTACACACATATAATTTATAAGTGGGGGCGGGTGTTACACATGTTCTATTACGCTTGTCTTCACATGCTTCCTTGTATCCTTCTCACTTTCCCTATCTGTTCCTCAAGCAGATGTGGTATCTTCTCTGGAAGCATAAGATGTTGAAGATGAGTACTCGAGAGCAATGCCAGGTAAGTAATCAAGTAAGAGGTTCCAGGCAGTCAGTTCCTGACTAGAAGCTTGATTCCAAGTGCTGACTGATTGCTCTCTTTCTCCTTGTCTTGCAGGTAAGAACAAGGTCAAAGGAAAAGACAGGGAAAAAGTATGATATGGGATACTTTTGCTTTTAACCCTGATGATATGAGATATTCTTGCTTTGGTGTAGCTTGTTTGCAGAGGTATTATTGGAGGGGAAAAAAGCTGAGTATTTCGAGAGGCTTCGTTGGGAGTGCCCTCTCAGATATGAGGAAGGGTTAAGCATTTTGGCAGGTCTGCCTGTTCATTGAGGATGGAGGTCGACATATATAGGAGTTTCCCTAACAACAAGTAGTAATGCTATTCCTTTACCCTGCTTAGTCATAGCACGGTAATGGGAGCTGCCAGCTTCACGTGTGTCAGAGCACTTTGAAAAAGTGGTCTGTGGTATCTAGAAAGTTGATGTTGCGTGTGAAGATTACAGACAAGCTTTATCCAATGAGATCTGGCTCTCGAAGTTGAGAAAGTGGTGCCTCTTCGGTTTTCGAACAAGCAATCATGTCGAGGATCTGGCTCTCGAGATTCGGAGAACGGTGCCTCTTCGATTTTTGAGAGAGCAATCCTGCTGGGAGTCTGGCTCTTGAGGTTCGGAGAGCGGTGTCTCTTCGATTTTTGAGAAAGTAATCATGTTGGGAGTCTGGCTCTCGAGATTCGGAGGACGGTACCTCTTCGATTTTGGAGCAAGCAATCTTGTTGGGAGTGTTTTCTCGAATGTGAGTAAAGGTTGGGCATGTTTGCTAGTCTACCTTGCCACAGAGCACAGAGGTTGACACACAGGGACTTTCCAATTATCCAGCAGTGGTGCTGTTCTTTTACCCTTGTGGGTAATAATATAGTAGCTAGACCTTCAAAATTTATGTGTTTAAACTTTGTTAGTGTTGTTTATTTGCTATTCTTTTACCCTTCTTGGTCATAGCGATGTAGTGGGAGCTACAAGCTTCACGTGTCTAAACTTTGTCAGAGATCTTTGGCAAAGTTATCTGTGGTACCCATGAGCTGATGGTGCGTGTGGAAAGTGAATCATTGAACAGTAAAATTCACGTGCTTTCTACTTCACCAGAAATCTTCAACAGAATGCCCGTAATTTCAGCAAAGCTGAGTGTGCATGTGACAGGTGCTGACAAGGCTGAAAAAAGCAGGTGCCTCTTCAAATTCTGAGATCTGCTCTCGTGGTCTCTGAGCAGCCCAACTTTTGAGAAAGCAAGCGCTTCTTCAATTTCTGAGATCGGCCTTCGTGGTCTTTGAGCAGCCCAACTTTTGACAAAACAAACGCCTCTTCGATTTCTGAGATCCCTCGTGGTCTCTGAGTAGCCCAGCTTTTAAGAAAGCAAACGCCTTTTCAATTTCTGGACAGGCGCCTCTTCGATTTCTGAAGCTTCGTCGAGTGTAGATTTTTATAGAGGCTGGCATTAAGTTTCAAAGCACACTTGAATCTTCACTAGTAGAAGCTCCCTTCTTGCACTTCTAAGATCTTGATTTGTCCGACCTCTTCTCTCTTCAACACCTTTGAAAATGTATGGCCCCTCCGACCGTCGTTTTGACTTGAACCTTGTTGAAGAGGCAGCCACGCCTTCTCCAGCTAACATATGGGGCCCATCCTTCTTATCCCCTACTGGTCCTCTTACCATTGGGGATTCCGTGATGAAGAATGATATGACTGCTGCGGTGGTGGCCAGGAACCTTCTCTCCCAAAGATAACAGACTACTTTCCAAACGGTCTGATGAGTTGGCTGTTAAGGATTCTCTGGCTCTAAGTGTTCAGTGTGCAGGTTTTATGTCTAATATGGCCCAACGCCTATTTGCTCGAACCCGTCAAGTTGAATCATTGGCGGCTGAAGTGATGAGTCTCAAACAGGAGATTAGAGGGCTCAAGCATGAGAATAAACAGTTGCACCGGCCCGCACATGACTATGCTACAAACATGAAGAGGAAGCTTGACCAGATGAAGGAATCTGATGGTCAGGTTTTACTTGATCATCAGCGGTTTGTGGGTTTGTTCCAAGGGCATTAATTGCTTTCGTCTTCTGGGGCTATACCGCATAATGAAGCTCCAAATGATCAACCTCTGATGCCTCCTCCTTTTAGGGTTCTGTCTAGTACTGAGGCTCCGAATGATCCCCCTCCGGTGCCTTCTCTTTCTGGGGCTCTACCGACTGCTGAGACTTCTCCTAAGCAACCTCTATCCCGTAGTCGCATCTTCTAACCGGAGCGTCAGTAGGCCTTCTTTGCACATGTCCAAACCACCGTAACCGATTTTCTCTCAATTTTCCTACAATTTCGGCTACTCCTACTTTACCTCGGATATCCTCATTCTTAATCTTATCCTTTCTCGTGTGCCCACACATCCAACGAAGCATCCTCATCTCCGCTACACCCATTTTGTGTACGTGTTGATGCTTCACCGCCCAACATTCTGTGCCATATAGCATCGCCGGCCTTATTGTCATCCTATAAAATTTTCCCTTGAGCTTCAGTGGCATACGGCGGTCACACAAAACGCCGGATGCACTCTTCCACTTCATCCATCCAGCTTGTATTCTAAACTCACACAATTAACCAACATTGCAATTTTGTTTAATAGTCTAAAATTCTTATATTCATCATATACGCTGGGAGGTGTGGGGAAGTATATCTCAATATGAAATTATGCATTTGTGTTGAAATTAAGCTCATGTTTGATATTTGTGAATATACGAATACTTAATGTTAGGGTAAGTACTCATCAAAACCACCTGATTACACAATAGACTGTCTGTTTGTTGTCCGTTTAGATGAATTTAGAAATTCATTGATGAACAAACACCGAAAGGCTTTGGAATCTTTCACTGTAAGAAATGATTTACATTGCTAGAAGTCAGGGGTAACCCAGAGTCTTTCCTCTATGCAAGGATACCTGTTGAGGAGTTGGCTGATCCTTGCTTTCAGGGAATTTGTGAGCCAAGGAGGGCAAAATATCCCGTAAAGTTGATTTTCACCATCCCATCATCATGCATTAGCAGGTTCACCCTAGAAATTTTCTCATAAAAGGTGTAGCTTTGCAAGATAAAAGACATGATGTTCAACCTAGACAGTGTTAGACCTATACAGTAGCAAAAGAAGTAGAGGTATTTAATATGCAAAAGAAAGCCAAAGGTTTTTGCCTTATGTAGAGACCCTTGATTTTGGTTTGATCTTTTGTTTTCTTTTTCTTTTTCTTTTTTAGCATTTAGGTCTTCTAATTCACACATTCAACCAACATTGCAATTTTGTATAATAGTCTAAAATTCTAGCTGGAAACCCTCTGGTTGGTTGGTGAGAAACAAGAAGGAAAACAATTGGGATACAATTGGAAATGTTAAAAATTTTCACCAGTTGGAAACAAAAATTGGAAATTTGTTGTCTTGTGTTTTGAAAATAGACTATAAATTTCCAATATTTTTGGTTTGGTTCTGGTTTTGCATACTACCTCTTGCAAAAACTTTTGATCAAGATGGCTTCGCAATCGGTATGATGATGAATATCCAGCCCATAAATATCCTAAATCACGCGATTAATCATTACTTCTTTGGCAAATATATAGTTCTATTGCACATTTTCACTTATTGGACTGGCATTTGCTTTTTGTATGATAACATTTGGATAACACATTTGGGATTGAAACTTGTATTTTTGTATGATCAAGGGTGCTTTATTTTTTTGGTTAAAGGATCAAGGATGATTTTAAGTTTTGACCGAAAGGACTGATGCTTTAAACTCGAACAAAAACTGACCCAACAGAATGAATCAATGGTGCTTTATATTCTGTCACCATTTGCTTTTATGGCGTGTTGCTGTTTCCATTGAGCTGGAGACACTGCCCCTGATTGCCATTGAGACTTAGATTGCAAGTAACCTAGTAACAGTTCTTGATTTGTGCATTTGATTCTTATTTTACCACACAAGCCATGAACGTTCTGACCCAGAGAAAGGCTCTTCACTTTGTAGCTAGTTGGCTGATCCCTGGATTCAGGGAATTTGTGAGCCTATGAGGGCAAAATATCCTGTGAAGCTGAGTTTCTCCATCCCATCATCATGCATTAGCAGGTTCACCCTAGAAATTTCTCAGCAGAAAATAGAAAAAGGTGTGACATTGCGAGATAGAAAACATAAAGTTCACCTTGTTCGCAGGCTTGGCAGTGGTAGACCTAAATTGTAGCTAGTGCGTGAAGTACGCCCAACCCTCCCGGAGTCATTAGATTTTTGTGGTCATCAAGAGAATACGTGTTAAGTAGATGATACCTAAATTATAAACCGAGTAGCAGTCACTTAGATTTTTGCATATGTTTCCTTTCTCGTATTTTATGTGGACACAGTTGTCCTAGTTGGGATAGAAAATGGCAGGTTGCAGATACATAAAGTACGTTTTAATTATATCTGTTTATCTGTTATATATATATATATATATATATATATGCTCTTGTATTTATTTCGTCTGCACTGTAAAAATTATATTCAGTTGCTTGCCTTATGGAGTATACTTCCAGCAAAGCTTTGTAGAAATGACCCGTCTTATGTAGATTAGCTCGTTCTCTGCTTCTT